TGCATTTTTCATAATATATATACACACAAAAATACGTTATCACCATTCTTAAATTATATGCATCGAATCCTTGTCTAAAAAGCACTCATCCGGGATAGGAAATAAATATTTAATCGAGGAAAAAATTGCAAAAAAAACATTTGAGAATTATTAGTGTGATTAATTTTTTTAAAGTGTCTCAAAGAGTAAAGGCAAGATCGGATTCAAATTATAGTTGTTAATTGCCCATTAGTCCCGCAGTGAACTAATCGTAAAGACACAGTTCCGAGTAGTCCCAGTAGAACACCAAAGTCAAGTATGACTGGCTGCTGTCAGTAAGCGAGTGAGTGATCACTTTGTTCAGCCTGCTTAAGGACCAAGGGTGTGCGGTATCGGTCCTCTTTAAACTTTTCTACCGTAAAGTGCTAGACTTCTCACGCAGGTCGTCGGGCTACCAAAGCAGGGGATCCATCCCCTCTGCATTGGATCAAAAGGGTGAAGGCATGTCTTCGAATCATCATCAGGAATATTTCCCAGATCGTCGCCAATATCCCATTGTGCAGTTCTAGTGCTACGTAACTAAAGTACCTGCCTACCTATATGCCAAATTGCCTATTAACACATTTTTCTTAAAATATGCCATATAGTAATACATACTACATACTACAGTACCAAGTAAGTAATAAATACTACATACCACAGTACCAAGTAAGTAATACATACCAAGTAAGTAATAAATACTACATAACACAGTAACAAATAAGTAATACATACTACATACCACAGTATTCAAAACATTATCAAATTACATCATACTGTAGCACCACTCCTTACCATTCCAATAGCTATTTCAACGTATATAATGCATTTTTCAGTATCTTTGGCATATGATAACTGAACAACTATCACAAATTTTTGCATTTTCATAAAGCTAAAAATATTACAATTTGAAGCGTGAAGCAGAAAAATATCACATTGAGAAATATTCAATTTTCAAAAATTTACATTTTCTTCCGCTAGAAAATAAATTTAAATTAGTTTTAATGAAAATTTACCATTTAAGGTCTAACATTAAACTGGATACGTTTTAGAAAAGTAACAAAATTGGCTTAAAATAAAGTATTTCCGTTCAAACTAATTTAAATTCATTAGGGCATCGAATTATATATTCATTAAGGCATTAAAAGCTAATATATACATTTTTACAATGTTACTTTCATCAACATATTTCTAATTTACTACTGGTCCCTCAAATACAACTCTTTTTCCATATCATTTCCAGATGTCAAGCGCACTGTTTGGTAAAAGCAATTTGTCAATTCAACATCCGGGTTCCACAAGCGGTGCGCTAGTAATATGTTTGTGGTTCCTTCTGTCTCCGCGGCAGAAAATAATATGCTAATGCCTCCTTTTGAAGCTCAGGTAGAATATTCTTTGAGCAGAGCCCATGCATCTGTTCCTAAAACTCAGCATAAACTTTGTAATTTGACTGGAAACTGTATGCACACAGGGTTTCTAATTCAGTCTCTACATATAGAAAGTTTCTTAGGTATAAGTTTTCCGGTGAGTTATTCGGTGGCATATGAGAGAATATTTTTTGGTCAATAAACCCATTTATTTTCTGCTTTTCTTTTATCTATTTGCTTCTCTTGCTGTTAGTTTTTTTATCGGAAAGACTCTGTCTGCCTAGTCTTGTCGTAATTTCATAAACCAGAACTTTGAGACGAACGAAAGCAAAATAATCTGAAAACAAAGTAGCACGCAACGTGATATTATATGGTAAATGGAGAAATAATATTACATACTTAATAAATTGTTTTACGTATCTGCTGTCAAACCTTTCTTAGGTCGAAATTAAGACATACCCAATATAAAATGATCAGAGTTACAAGTGGATCTGAAAGGTATGTTTTATGTAAAAAGAAAAAGGTAATGTGGGGATCCCCGTTTAGAAGATTAAGGATTCTGAATTGAAACTAAAAATTCAAATATTCAATAGTAATAATTTTTGTTCCATTTCTTTTCAATGCCTGTTGGTTTTCTTGAATTACAACTTATTTATTATAACTTTTTCGTTGGCATTTAGGAATTTAATACTTATGTCACAGTTTTACTTTTTACATTTTCGATATTTCAACTACAGATACCATACATATTGCACTACTTTTTAATACTCAAAATATTACTTCAAACCTATTGTTTAACCTAACCTAACTTAAAAACCCTAGCTATTATAAGCGCATAATATTTATAAGTAAAGTGTCACCTAACATTTTGCTTATAAATCTAACTAACCTAACATTTTAACCTATATTACCTAACCTTTAACGTAACCTAACCTAACGTAACCTAACCTAACCTAACATTTAATTAACATTTCCAACTCTCTAACCTAAACATTTACAAACAAAGCAGGTTTCACATGTTGTAAGCACGTGCGAGGATATCAGTATTATTAGAATTTTAAGAGACGAAATATTTACTTCCACAGATTGAAGTTATTCAATTATATGTTAATTGATACTTTGATTTTTGACAAAACTTAAAACAAATAAAATCAATCTTTAATTAATATATGTGTACTGTCAACACTCCTCCTATAACTAATTGTTTCAATCGAAGTAATGTATAGTGATTAATATACAGTCGCTTAAAAGGATTTCGATTTATTGCACCACATGGAAAAACACAACAGCGATAATCCTATACCATTTTGCAATTTAAGCTCTGTAAATTATTGCTATACATCGCCCTATAATTTTAAATGAAGACGTGTTAAATTTATCTCTGGAATCGTCAGGAGGGAATTCCCATTATTCTCCGAATAGTTATGGCCGTCGCGCCTCATTTTGGATTGGCCCGAATGATTCAAGGGAACACAAGAACGAAAGACGGGGGAGGATAAGTGTAGAGAATAGCAGAATGGTCAGTTAAATCGTTTGATCCCCTTAAGGGCATCGGAGAAGAGGTAAGGTATGCTTCGGTTGTCATAATTGGCCAAGGGAGTATTCTACATCTGATGCCGTTTGGTCACGCCAACTTAGGAATACTCGGACAATACTGAATTTGGATTTCTGACCCGTTGTCACAGTCACGTAATGAAAGGATTAGAATTGCTCGAATAGTTAGTGAGACGAGAATTGGCAATCTGCTTCCTGATTGTTAAATCAAGCCAAGGTAGTTGAAAGACAATTTATTTCCTTCGTTTGGCTTCGGGTCAAGGAAGTTGTCTGCGAATGCAGATCAAAGAATTGTTTGTTGTTGAAATTTTAATTCCTGCTTGATATGAAGTGATCGCAGCTTGTTTAGATCTTTTGGAAATTAATGCTAAAGGTAATAAGACTAGAAAGGAGTGAATTTGAAATGCTTATCGCGTGGGAATTATACTGCATGCAGCGAATGATTTTAATTAAAAATGCTTACATCTAGATTTTCAATGAGGATTGTTGAAATAAGATATCGGAAAGAATATTAAAGCACACTTTGTACAAGTTTCTAACAAGTTCTAAACAAACACCTAATTTCTGTGTTTCATTTATGTGTATATACAACCATTTCTTGAATCTTATTTGCCTGTGGATTTTTCTTAGCAGTTACCGGTTAACATGGCCAATTTCGGTCCAAAAATGATTGGAATTTTAGTTATAATTAAAGACAGTTATTAAAAATAATTAATATAATCGAATATTTGGCATGAGATTTTAGATTAAGAGAGGAAATTTAAGAAATATTACAATTTATTAAGAATTAAATATTTAAGATAAAACTTAGTATCTTTTGGAGATCTTAAAAATCATTCTAAAATTAAAAATTATAATCGTTTTTAAATAAGTGTAAGTACTACATTAAAAAAATACGTAAATCAGAATTTGAATGTTTTAGGCAAAAACGACGTGTTGCATCATGACTGACTGGAAATCACCAGTGAGACTGGTGATTATGAAAATTGCCTATTTTGGTTTATTTATTTGAAATTTCTCATTTCACAGGCTATGTTAAATGTTGTTGTGTGTGTGTGCTGAACCTATATTTAAAAACTGGAAAATGTAGGGGTACTGTTTATTTTTTTTTCTGTTTGCTTTAAAGTAAAAGGGGCAAATAAGATGGAAAAACTATAAATTTTACTTTTGTTTTTGTTAGTTTTTCATATTAAAAATGCATATTCATTCAAAAAATGAAGATAGAATTTTTATTTTATCATAACTGGAAAATGGTAACAAAAATACATCTTGTTAAAATAAAAACTCGTTTTACTTGTTCAATGTCAATGAATTTTAATTCAAAATTTGGAATGTTTTCAAAATGTAATTTTTTTTTGCACCTGGAAAAGCCAAGCCATAGAATTCATTCTTAAAATAAGTAAGCAAAACAGACAATCAAATCCAAGCAATTCGTATTCTTATCAAACAAGTCAACACAATCTAGACATGTCTACCAAGCGATGATAAGAAACATGTTCATGAATTTCAATATGAAAATATTGATGTTCTTCTTTTGTTTTTCCACAGAAAGAATTTTCGAATTTATCCCTCCCTCTATGGGTAATAAAATTTAGAATTTCCATATATTTTTTTAAATCTCAAACTTATAACTTTTTCAGAATCTAAATTTTATTTTTCCATGAATATGCAATCTTTGAGTAGTATTTCGTTATTTTTATTAAATATTTCACTTCACTTTTGAAGATGAAATTAATTATACTCTCAAAATTTTTATTTTTATTTTTCATGAAACAGAAAACAATCATTTCATCACAAAATCACAAATGATTTTTTCTTGGTGAAATGCAGACTTATAAAATTATAAAGGAATATTAAAGGAATTAATCTTCACACACGTGTTTTATCCTGAAGTACACTGGTAGATTTTCAGAATTTTTAATTCTGAATCTTTTTAAACTTCGTGTTGCGTAGCGAAGTGTCTTACACTAGGGATTGCGCTCGCAAACAGACAATCAAATCCTATATATATANGTATGTATGTATTACTTATATACTTAATTATGTTTCCTTATATTTTAGATATCCTTTATGAAGGATCTGACATGCCAATTGTTAAAGTCAGTCGACTAAATATGGGGACGTATTTATGTATAGCAAATAATGGAATACCGCCAACAGCTGTAAGAAAAGCAGTTTTACATGTACATTGTAAGTTGGTTTATTGTTTTTAAATGATTAAAATTTTTGTAACTCTGATTTTGCTTTACATCGCAGGAACAAAAATATTTTCTGCAAATAACACAATCTTTAGAAAGTGAACGCACAAAAATAACATTTTTAATGATTTATTAATCGTTGTTATTTATGGGTTACATCTTTAAGGTAGTATTTTTTAAAGAGTGGAGCAACAGATCGAAAATGCAGATAAAGTAATCATTTAGGCAGTTTTTCCTTTCAAAAGTTTGTCTGGTTTATTTCAAATTGGATTATTACTAATGTAAACATGAGTGAGTACTTTTAATACAATACCTTGTACTTTTTCCCTTCATTTTTTTTTTATTTCATTTGGAAAAAAAGCACACGCAACCTTCGATTTTGCGTTTGCAACTACATATTCAATTAGCAGAAGGGTATCATGAACATCCTTTGTCATTATTTAACTGTATGGATTAATTCAGTTTATTGGTTATTTTTCGTCTAAAATTTACTGCAAACCAAATAATCCCGAAGTTATTTTTGAAAAACTTCGCATAAATTTCGATAATTAATTTTATTACATATTTAATATATTAAAAACTGCATTTGTTTTAGTCGATACTTGATCATTTTAAATAATTCAGAATAAATAAGAGCAGTAGATTTATAGTATGACCAAAATTTAATGACATGCAGTTTAATTTAATTTTAAATGTCATAATCTAGCAACTAAAAAGAAATTAATTAGTCCTTGTAATTTAGAGACTGTTCAAAAATCAGTAAGATTTGATACTCCTCAAAGAAAGTTTGCATTTTGTTCAGAAAATCAATTAGATGTGACCCAATTGGACTTTTGTACTAAAGAGTATAATTTAGGACACTAAAAGGATTCATGACCAGACTTCTTCAATTTTGACTAAAATTTGAAGTTATTTAAGAAACATAGTTTCGTGGGTTTACATTTTATTCATCGCAATCCCTTTTGAAACTCTTTTAAGGAAATAAAAATTACTCTGATTGATATAACGTATCGCACGCTTTGCTTGGTATAATGTGCATTTTAAGTTTTCATTATTAAGCACACTGTAAAGGATGATCTTTTTGTTCGTAAACCTATAATCTATTACCAAACATATTTTTTATTACATTACATACAATATTATACCTTATATATTGAAGGGCGGTCTGTTTTCGAACTAGAAATTTTCAAATGAAACTAAAAGCCAAATTTTTCTAACACTTGGTGTCCCTTTGATATTTGATATTTCAAGTGACCTAGAATAAAACAAACTAATGGTGAAACCATGTAAGTAATCTCATATAAATTTGAATCTCAACTTCTGGAAATATGAACGAAAGTTGAATGGTTCTTGATTTTCGTTGCTGAACCGAAACCAAACAACAATTTAACTTGAATTAAGTAAAAGGAGGATAGCAAAGCTTTTTTTTAAAAAAATGTTCACTAAAGACAATACATTGTTCTAGTAAAATAAGCAAAGATTAAGGACTTGCAATTTTACTCATTTCGATAGCTGAATACACACAAGTAACATTGAATTCATACATACCCAAGATTATGTGCTTTTAAGACATAAAACAAAGTCGTAAAATTCTCATTGGGGCATGGGGAAAAACACACATTAATAGATATCCTTCATAAATTTTATCTAGGACACTCATTGTGAAAACTATTAACCCTTTTTCAAGAAAACGGTCATAGAAGTGCTGATTTTTTTTAGACATCAAAACATCTTGTGCTGATATCAAGTTCGAAATAAACTAGCAATCTACAATTACCTTAAAAATAACCTGGCACTGCCATCTGGTGAGTAAAATGAGAAATTAAATGTTTTCCGGGTAAAAGAAATAAATTAGTTTTATTCTTATTAACACGTTACTACTGAACCATCCAGCTCGGAATTACGACGGGAGCGAGAAATAGAGGGCGAAACCTCACTCCATCATTTTCACGGGAGCCAGAAGGAAGGGGTGAAATTCCCAAGTACAGTGAATACATACCATTACGGTTAAAAAAAAATCACAAGCGGTGGCTCAGGGAACAAAAGTTTGGCGACAATCTGATTGGAGAAGAAAAATAGTGGTTGGTATCGAATTTCTTCTGTGTTCAGTATAGGCGCTTTGAAGTTAAGCCAAAAAAAGTATGGAAGATTTCCCAAAATGGACGAATTAGCTAAGTTTTACTGATTATAAGGCCATCGCGTAAAGCATGCTCATAAACACCTTTTTATCAGAATATAAGAAAACCGGTTTATATTATCAGTTAAACCTATTTACTTGCTTTGGATATCACCTTATTTATCAGGGAAACATAAACATTCGAACGTTTAGGGGCTCAGCTCCGTTTGCGTCGTGTGTTGATAACCCAAACCCCGTAAGCTCAAAAATGCTCTGGAGCATTCCAGAAAATTCGGGTACCGGAAAGAAACAGAAATCCCTAGGAATGAAGAATCCTACAAAAAAGGTTCAAACAAGACTAGTGGGAAAAGAATTCGGGTTTCAGTTGTTATCAAAAGGAAAGGAAAATTCAAATGAGGCAAGAAAACAGTGCTGTCAATCAAGCAGACAGAAAAATTTACGAAATAGTTAAACTTGATAAAAGTATTCTTCTTCCTTTTTTTCTTTAAAAAAAAGGAATCATCATGGAAATAAAATTGTTTTCCTAATTAAATAATAGTTAATTATTTAACCTAAAATTATTTAATTAAAAAAACAGTATAACAGAAGATCTAGAAATCTCAAACCGTGATATGCGGATCAATATTACAGTGATGTTAAAGAACCTTTGAGTTGAAGTTATTTATTTAAAAGGTATAAAAAATAATGAAAACAAAAGGAATCCAAAATGCTCTTATTTCCCGTAATAATAGAACTTGCTGAATCACCATTAACAAACATTCAATGTGATACCCTTGTTTTTATCATCGCTCTTGTTTATTGCAACTTAACTGAATCTTGTTACATAATATGTATTAATAAACTTTGCCATAAAGCGAATAAGCTATATCTTCGTTTAAATTAAAACAATGCTTATATTTAATGAAATTTTAGTATAGGATTTGTACTACACACTGACTCTCAAATATTCTATTTCTTTGAATAATCAGATTTAGAATACATAATGAACAGAGTAGAGTAGTTTATATAAAATTTAAGGTCATTCAACTATCTTGAAAATTTGATTGTCATATCCTTGCATTCTAAACACTTTTCATTAATCTTTCGCAACCATCAACCAACCGCTCTTTGCGAAACTCTCTGTTAAAGCATATTACGCGCGTGTCTTAGCTTTCATAAGGGATTATATATATTCAATGACTCGTTCTGCTTTAATTCATGATACTAAAGGGATTGGAGACAAGACTGCTTCAATCTTGATTTGAATGTGAAGGCCATGGTAGGAAGTTGCATTGTAGGTCTCGCTTTTAATCAGGATAACTCCTGAAACCTTCCTGCTGTGATCGATTTTCTAACAAGGGGAATTAACTGGAATTTTAATTAAGGGATGGGAAGAGTTTCTGATGCAAATATTTGACCACCTAATTGGAAGTTCATGTGTAATTGATTGGTTTGAAATGCGAATATTAAGCATATTAATAAAGCGTTCTCGAATCTTTTATTCAAGCAATTTGAGACAAAATTGTTTGGATAAGTCGTGAGATGCCAGTTATGTAACAGGTCTTTTGTAATGCTAAGAGAAAATGATGTATATTTAGGGTAAGTGAAAAATTGATTGTTCGCTTACAGCAGCAAATTAAAAATGTAAGTATTTCATTAATATTGAGTTAATGTTGCAACGGAATTTTCTAATTACTAAATGTTTCATTAAATCTAACAATGACTCTAAATTTGAATTTGTATACTTTTCTAAACAATGGAAAAATAAAGATGTTGTTTAATATTAACGATTGTGACTTATTTGTATTTTTATTCAAAACATTGCATAGTAATTATGAATTGGTAAATTTAACTTTATTCAAAAGTCTTTCTATTTTTAAAAACAAGTGGTTTAAGTACGTTACTTTATATAACTATTCTATTAATTATGGCTTTTCTGATGAAACTACATTTGATTAATATATATTTTACTTTAAAATTTACCAATTGTGAGTTTGTTTAGGTTGATAAAAATTTACAGATATATAAGACAATTTCCCAAATAAAATAAAATTATATTTTAATTAAAAAAAACAGCTCAAAACAATCAAGTAAATTAAATAAAATAAACAAATAATTATTTTTGAGCTATTGCGTTGGAATTGCATATGGGTATTGAAATTTTTTTTCAATATAAATACTTTATTTCGTTATTATTTTCTTTCTACAGTTCCATTATCAATAAAGAAAATGCCACTGTTGAAAATTATGACTTTTTAAAGATTATTCTATAATTCAGGCAATATTTGGATTATGAGCTTTTAGTGTAAAAAGAAGTTCCCAAGTGACTATCAGGACCAATGAAATTTTTGTTCTATTTATCCCAGTAGGCACCGTTATGTCAAAGGGAAATAATTGTTTGAATTTCTTTAGAATTATTGCATCTAGTATGTACATTCGAAACAGAATGAAATATTTTGCATTAAAAAAATATTCAGTTTTAGTTTTATATCTTGCTATCAAAACGGAGCTTTGGTATCGAATGGTAGGTAAACATATACACGCATTTTTCTCTCAACCCCTTCCATTCTTCAACAGCGGATTGAAAAACACCGAATTTTTTATAACATTAAGAATTCGAGCATTTTCTCGTTTTAAGGAAATTTAATGAAAAAGAAATTAAGAAAAATAAAGAAACTTACTAGTTTGCTCTTCATTAATTATTTTTTTCTTCAAATTGATATTTTATCAGGGAAAAATGTAAGCCCCTTTTATGTAAATTAATTTTGCATTTAATGCGATACAATAGAGTAATTTTTTTTATATAATTTGCATCTAGAGTCCACACTCGACAAAATGATTTATTCCATCGAATCTCTCATCGTTATTTGGCTTTGGCACACGATTGGTATTAACTTTTTCTGTTTGAAGAGACGGATTTGATGCGAAAACAAAGAATGTCCTAATCATCCGACAGCTCATTATTACCTAAAGATTACTAAATGCGCAAGAAGACCACCCATTTTCAATTTCAGAACTATCAGACAACTAAAGATATTTAAGCGATTTAATTACAATCACACTCAATGCAAAGGATTTGAAAATGAGTGGAAGTGATAAGGGATTTTGACTACTTCCCGTCAAAGCTCCAATATCGGGGTCGAGAAATTGAGAGGTCGTTTTCAACTACTTTATTAAATTCTTGAATTAGCTTCTGTCAGGTATTGAAGATGATTTACTTCTGAAAATTTTCTATAGTTAAAGCAGGAAAAAATATTTTTTTAAAGATTGTGTTCAAAAAAAGCGAATAGAAAAAAAAAATTCAAATTTTTCCTAATTATACCTATTTTTATTATAAAATTTGAATGCTTGGTAATTTATTTTTAGTGATAGATTTATGAAATTTTAAATTAATTTCCCATAGTCAGAACTTTTGTGCCTAATGCATTAAACTACCTAGGATCACGAAAGAACAGTGTTTTACTTTTGGAGTCCCTCTCTTCTCTAGTCATGTGATTTCAATGTTTGATCAAAATTTGAATCCCCTATCAGACGCTTGAACACCATATAAATGTATTTTTTACGTCTAGTGCTTATGCTAATATATTCTTGCCTTAAAATAAAATGCTAATTCCGATATGTATTATAAAATAAAACAGAGCCACAGCAGGGAAAATTTTGTGCTCATATTCCTAACATTTAAATGAGTATAGTTCATTAGTCTCTGGTTTAGTTCTGATTCGAATGTAAACACCTGAATCTTTGATGAATGTCAAGCGTCAAAAACATCCAAAATAGCCTTCTTTGAGTTACACAAACAATTTTTAGTACACTATATAGAATGATTAAAATAACCGAGTTAGAAATTCACGTAAACTCGGTTTGATTAGAAATAAAAAGCAATTTATAAAAAAAGGACAATTTCCGCTGGATCGATTCCAAACCGAGCTGTTCTCTTTCACGCAAGTCTAATCGTGTGCTTCATAAATTAGAATAAGTTTTACTTTTGTTCGAGAAAGCGAAGTCGTTTCACATGATCAGCGTTGTTCCTTCACCAGCGTCTCAACAATTAATTTTGGCGGATATTGGGCAAGAAATTTTGTTTTCCGGAGCCATCTGTTGCCTTCTTCCTTAATGGAGGCTAATTTGTAATGCAGAATAATTCCAACCCCTCTTTCGTTCGTTCCACCCCTCAATTGATATGTGATGGTGAGCAAAACTGAAAGATTAGTATTATAGATTCAAAATTGACTTATGTATTGTTTTGCTAATAAATATAAACTAAATCACCTATTAAAAATTGAAGAAATTTTTACGTTTTAATATAAATGATATTTTTGCTTGAAATTTAGGAAACAGCCATCATTACCGTAAATGATTTCGGCTCTTTGTTTTATTGAAGTTTAGCATGTTGTAAATTACAATTCTCTTTTATTTAATGGCTAATTTGCTGATTAAATAGCTTTGCATAGAACATACATGAAAATATCGTGTTTATGCACTGAAATTGTTTTATGGCAAGTCTTTTAGCAGAACTGCATTTCATCAACAAATTGGAGATAGAATTTTTAAAATTTTTATTGAATATTTTAATATTTCAAAACCACTTGGATTTATGAAAGTAATGAAATTATTACTTTAAAAGTTTTTGTTAATAAGTTAGAATGGAGTAAAATGAGTTTTCTCATATTCTGTGGAATGAAATAGATAACTAAAATTTCAGAAGTTACAAATGGGTATTTATTTGGTTGGATCATTTATGCAACACTTAAGTTACACTAATGGTACTGGTCAACCAGATGTGAATTGTAAATAATATTAGTATGTGAACACTTCGTTACCATATTTCAAATTGGAAAAGCAGATTGTTGTAGAATCACCTGGTCCCACAAAGCGCCCCTATCTGATTAAGAGATTTTACGATTCAGAACTCGTGTAATGAAATTTTAAGATTCAGAGTTCGTGTAAGACATTACATAAGTTAACGTGAACAAATATGTGTGCCCGATCCTCCATAGCCCAAAGTGAATCGAATTTCACCACAAGTGATGTAAAACTTATGCACTATTTACTATACCATCTGAGTGATGATTGCAATTTAACGATATTGATTCATCAGTCTTGAGACTTCCGATCTAATCACGCCTGTCAATTGTTTAATCACGGGTAACTAGCGTAACATTCTAATCACGGCTAACTAGTCTAACATTCTTGCCATGCTCGTCAACTGACAGTTTTTTGGCCTAATTGAGAGGGTTGTGATCGAGACTGTCGAATGATAAGTTCAAACTACCCGGCCAAAAACACAAAATAGGAATCAGCAATTTATCATTTTTTAATGTGTTTTCTTAAATTCTAATTCTTTTCATATTAAAAAGTGCCTTTAATAAAATTCTTTACTTTTTTAGTAAAAATACTTTTTGTTTCAAATTTGTTTTTGCTTTTTTTCAGTTCCTCCAATGATTTCAATTCCAAATCAACTCATTGGGGCTTCGATTGGGGAAGATGCCACGTTGGATTGCAACACGGAAGCATATCCAATGTCCATCAACTATTGGACCAAAGAGAATAGCGTCATGATAGTCTCAAATAGCAAATATATAACCAGTATACAGGACAATACTTATAAAGTGCATATGAAATTGACTATTGTTAGTGTACGGCAGGGTGATTATGGGATATACAAGTGCTCAGCCAGGAATTCACTGGGCACAACAGATGGAACCATTAGGTTATATCGTAAGTACTTAAATGTATACTTTTTTATGTATTACTAAGAGAGTTTAAAAAAGATATCAGAATCAAGTTTTTATATAAATATGGAAAACAATGCCGCTATTTAAATAAACAATGTCACTTTTAAAGTTGCTATTTCATGAATTGAAATTAGTTCATATGAAATTGTCAATTGCACTGCAGGATGATTATGGGACATATAAAAATAAGGGTACAGGTAAAAAACTCATTAGGAAAAACGGATGGGGCCGTTAGGTTATATTGCAAGAATTTAAATATATACTTTTTGTGAATGTCTAAGAGATTTTAAAGGAAATGTTTGCATAAATGTTTTTTTTATTTCATTTTATAACAGTCATTGAACAACCAATCCAATTTTGAGTTTAGGACTACCAATGTTCATTCGTCTTGTAATTTTGAATCCAGTCCCGAAGACAAGGGAACTCCTGGATCAAGTATTTGAAAAGAAATTCATTCAGGGTGAACTTTTTGATGGAACTATCCCGCATTTGCGTTACACGGAGAGGGAAACCACAAAAATCTCCCACGGTTTGCCTGACAGCAAGGGGACTCTAACCCATGATCCGCCTACCACTGCGGATATTTTACGTCAGCACTGTAGTCGGTAAAAGCCAGATGCGGAATTCGTATTGACCAGCCCTCTCTGGGATTCCAACCCGGTTCACCTCAATGGAAGGCGAACGCTCTATCCCCTTTACCACCACTTCTCGCATAAATGTTTTCGTACAAATACGGCAAACATAGCCGCTATTTAAAAAAAAACAATGTTACTTTTAAAAATGTTTATTCTTCAAAGATTTTAACGAATATGCTGCTTGAAAAATACGGCAAAGTCGCTATTTACTAAAATAATATCAAAGCTATTTATTTTTCAAACATTTTTTTGAATGTTAATAGATTCGAAACAAATATTTACTGAAAACAAATATCTAGATTTGAAAAATAGTGTTCTCTTTTTTTTATTGAAAAGTTCAGTGTAAAATGTCAATTAAAATTAACTTTTGAATTCTATACCAATTAATACGAACCATCATTCCTTCCTCGATTAGTATTTTAGCGATTTGTTACTGTGCTTTTTTCTTTTTTTCCCTTTTCCATTCATTGTAAAGTTCTTAAAATTCCACTAAATCAGAAAGATTTCTTTTTAAGATACGAAATGAGTAATTTAAGAATTAAAGAATCTGACTACTGTAAAAACGTGATTTTGGGGAAATTTTTGAAATTGAGTTCATTATAGATTTAGAATCCGTGTACTCTTAGCTTTCTAAAAATACTTTGCATTTTTTTCACTCCGTTTATTTACAAAGTTACAGCAGTTTTTGAGCAAGGTGATAACAGTAGGTACACTAATGATTCTAAGTATTTAAATGCGTTTATCACAAAATCAGATTTTTTTCACATTTTACAATACCTTAAAAAAGATATCTCATGTCATTTTAAAAAAAATGTCTTAAATTTTTTATGAGTATTTATGATACGCTATAAATGTTTTTACCTGCTGACTAAGAGAAAAAAAAAGTAGAATTTCATTTTTATGCATGTCTTTTCGCAAAGACAAGTCAGAAAGTTTTTAAAAATTTGCTTTTTTTAAATACATTGATACCTAACTCAGTAGTATATGCTTCTGCTTTTACGATAATTGTTGAAAACAAAGCTGATAACCTTTTAAATGAAATCCATATAGAAATTTTTTACAGGGCATGGCGTATATGCAGAAAAATGCTTTATTTTTTAATAAAAGTAGCCGTTAAAAAAGAAAATAATAATAATTATTTGTTCGCTAGCTTTTTCAATTTTCACACAAAATAAAACAAATAAACAAGTTAGTTAAAATTTTATATTAATATTTAAAAAAAAGTTGTCGAACTAGTCGGACACCTTAAGAACATTTGTCAAGTTTTGTCGAAACAAGAGAAGAACATTGAGTAAAAACATTGTCGAAACGAGCAAGTATTCGTAGTCAAAAGCGACAGATGATTGAGTCTTTTCTTTACATAAAATAACCTCACATAATAAGAAAAAAAACTATTGAGTTCGCATTTTTTTCCAAAATGATTATATAATAAGGCAATTAAAAAAATTTTTCGCACCCTGTAAAATTCTGTCACATATTATTTTATTGTATTTCAATGTTCTATCAGACAAAATAATTTTAATGTGGATTTTTAAATTGAAGTTAATTAGTTAGTAATTAAAGAAAAAACATTATATACTCAGTTAGATCAAGATAATATATTCTTAAAAACTGATTTTGTCAATAAACATTAGACTAAAAATGCAAAAGTTATATATCATTCCATTATGGGAATGAATTAAATTTCTTTATTATTCATTTATTCATATACTCAATAAGCTTTTGAAAAAAAGTTTGAAATTAATACTCAGGTTTTTTCTATTCTATAAAAATATATTTTATTGTTTCATAATTGAACAAAACATTTGAATACACAATTTTAGATGGAATGTCTAGCTTTATTTAATTTATAAACAAAACGAGTATCATTGGAATTTGAGTGCACTTTTTACTTCAGAACAAATTTAACATAGTAACATTTGAAATTGAACTTCATAATTGTACTTTTTTTCCTTATGAATATTCATGAAGGAATTTTTCTATCAAAATATTTTATTTCCTTATTCCGCCGTACATTATTGTTGATAAAAAATGAAATAAAATGTGATAATCACTTTGGCTAAAACTTTCAAAAAAATACTAAGTATGTTAAAATATGTTTTTAAATAATAAATATTTCAACGCGCAGATTTCATTTTATTAAAAAAAGCATTATTTGAATTTTATGAATTACTTCACTTTTTTAATCATGGATAAATAAAAATATCTATATTTTTTAGATAATTAAATAATTGAAATTCTTTGCTGCTGAGAATGCTTTCACGAAATATATTTTTATCTATTAATTTAAAAGAAAAACTTGAATCCTCTATTTAAAGTAAGCACTTAGCCTTACCTTTGTTTCATAAACTTAAAAAAGTTTATAAAGCTTTTGTCCAAAACTTTAACCCAATTTTTAATAAACATTAATGGGGAATGAAAATTATTTTATCTGAAAAAGTAAGAAATTAACTTCTATTATACTTAAATGTCTTTTTTTCTAACCATCGTTATGTGTGAACTAAAGATTATTTTTCTTCTTCTTTGAAATACTGAATATTTATGACTTCTATTAAAACTTCAACACTAGTTACAAATTAAGTTTATACATTTTTAAATATAAAAAACGCAGAAAAAATTTATTATTGATAATCATAATTATCTTTTTATCTTTTTAATAAATAAAAATGTTAAAATAAATATATTCGGAAATTAATTCAAAATTTTGCTTCGAATTATTTTAAAGTGTTTATTTAACTATTTATTTTATGTTATTTGTAAAGCAAGTAGTGTAGCACTAAAACTTATTTCAGGAGAATGTTTTTGTCGAAATTACCAGTTGGATAAAAACATTCATTATTTACTTTACTTCCAGCTTATACATTTTCAAATGTGTTAATACATTATTCCATAAACAGGAAAATAATGTAGCACACATTCTTTCATATTTAACATACTTTCTATTAAATAACATAATATATATNACACAAGAGATCCTAAGAATCCGGCCTTGATATATCATGTGAAAAATTACTACTTCCAAATTTATCTTATCATGGATTCCAGATAATTTATATCTTTTCTTTTATTCATCAAAAAATAATGTGATCTCTCTTTATATATATATATATATATATATATATATACACACACAAATTAATTTTAAAATAAATTTAATCTCAATATTAATATTTTTTAATTAGTTAGTTCTTTATGCGAGTTTTAGATAAAAAAAATGCACATTTCTTATAGATCTGCTTAATCTATGCACCTACATTGAATCCAAAAAAATAAATTTTATAACTCTCGGGATAAGAAAGACTGCATTGAAGCAACCTAAACCATTTTACTATTTTCATTAGACAAAATTGTTTTATGATAACACAGACATAAAAATCAAAGCATAGCTCTGAGGAGTTAAACCATTTTCCTTCCAACTGGCAAACTATTTTTTCCAATCCTTTATGTCCTTTATCGAATTCCATTGTTGGGAGAGCAAGTGCTTTCCATCGATGTTCCTCTTTCAAGACAAAAATTCGATAGGGAAGGAAGTCTATTCGTAATCGAACTAGGTATTATCCGTCTGCGTCTTTCTATTCCAAAAAATTGTACAGATGAAGTCATTTAGAAATTTATTTCGTCCGTAATGTTATGTGGAATTAATAAGGGAATACTATATATTTTGAGTAAAAGTTGAAATATTTATTGAAGTAGTTTCGTCAAATTGATATTTCTCTCGATGATTATAACTTAGCTAAGTTATGTAAAAAGACATAGTACATTTGTAAATAGTATTATTGCCATTTAAATGTTGAAAAATAGTATATATTTAAAAGAAAATAGCATTAACCTTTGAACGTACTGTCCACACCCAAAAAATTTAAAAAAAACCTGCATGACTTTAGTCGAGGTGTTGGTACTAAGATGAAATTTAAGTTTTATACAGGATGCATTGTACAATAAAATAAAAAACAAAAACTCAATTTGTTTGAATATTAGTAACGTTTTTTCGACTGATTTCTTGATTTCCAAATAATAGAAATTACAAAATAATCAATAGTCCCAATAGTTAAATCAGAAGAGTGACCAATAGCTTAGATACCTAAATAAAGCTTGGACACATAAATAATAATTTCAATTTTATTGCATGTTTCGCTAAATCTCTGGAATATTAAAAGTAATTCATGCAATTATGAAGCAAATTTAAAAAGCTAATTTTAAATGAGAAAAGTATTATTTATTACTTTTTATCATTTAATTTAATAGTATTAAAAAAAATTTGAATTGTAAAACATGTAAAGTTTGTCATCAATTTAAATTACGGTATTTTAAATTGCAAAAACTTAAATTTTACTGGATTCCAACTAAT